TAAGATAAATCATATGAACTTTACCAATGTTAACAAATATGTATGCTGACTTTGATTAAAATCAACTTTGAGTTCGAGTTTTTTTTTCTACATCTATGAATCTATATTATATTAATTCATGAAATCTATCTATTTTCCATCTACGAGTTACTGGAAGAAAGATCAGACCGATTCTATACTCAATTGAAGATTTCTAACTTTGGCTGACGTACTTTATATAGACCTGAATGAAAATTTATTAGGAAAAAAAATTGAACTAGAACTTTAAAACAGAATTTCTTCAAAACAATGAGTTGAAAGTCGCTTACGAGTTTTTCGGAAAGACTATTTAATTAGACCTAAGTTAATACTTAAATCTCTTTTTTTTTATTGTTTTTGTATATAAATTTTTATTCTCATAATCAATTGTGCTTTTCGGTATCAAAATAAATTACTTTTCTTGTGTCGAGCTTGTTCTTCATTCAAGCAGAATGAAGTTTTGCATGAAGAACAGCAACAACAGAGTCAAGAAGATCTCTCTGCTATTGACATTCTTCTGTTATTTTGAATCGTTTATTTCTCAGGATAGTTATATGAAATTACATCCGCATGGTATTATTCCTGTATTAATTAATGATGTTGTATTTGGTTTACATGGTTTTATTGTATCATTTATTACTATATTTCAATGTCTTCTTTTTGAGGTATGTCAAATTGATTTCAAACTTAAACGATATTTTTTTTGTTAAAAATTATTCTTTATTTAGCATTCTAAACAACGTGTTTCATATACAACATCAATACTATTAGTTATATTTATTGTATTTCTATTTATAACAACAATTTTAACATCAGTCGGTCGTATTGATCTACTTTTATTAATTTATTTCTATTCATATGTTAAATTAATTATATCTTGTATAAAATATATTCCACAAGTTGTTATGAATTATCGTCGTAAATCAACTGACGGATGGTCTATTGGAAATATTTTATTAGATTTTCTTGGTGGTATACTTAGTTTAATACAAATGTTTTTACTTGCTATTAATTATAATGATTGGTTGTCAATATTTGGTTCAGTAGCCAAGTTTAGTCTTGGATTTATTTCAATTGGATTTGATATTATATTTATTGTTCAACATTATATTCTTTATAGAAATAGTAAACAACAAATAGATGGATATCAAACATTGGATAATAATGAAGAAACAACAACAGTTGCAGTTAATACTTAAATCTCTTTTTTTTTTTATTGTTTTTGTATATAAATTTTTATTCTCATAATATGAACATAATAAATGCAGTAATATATATATATATATGTAATTATTCTTCTTTCAATATTTAATATTAATTCAAGATGGTATTGAAAATTAATTTTGTTGAAATGAACTGATATAGAATATATATTGTGTTAATTTAAAAATAAGAATGGATCGAATCAAAAAATATTCTAATGATTAATATGAGTTGCTTGCAGTGAAAATTAAAAAGGCAAACTATTGAAAACAATTCTGTTTATTAATCTAAACAACATTATTTGTACAAATGCTGAAGCATGCGTATAAATTCAACTAAATTCTCATATATATAAAAAGAGATGAAGACAAATGTTTCACAAAGAGAACAAAGTTAATTACAAAATTAAGAATTATGGGCATCGAAGTTTATTCACAAATAATTCCTAATTAATTCGATTGGCACGTGACGTAAAAAGATGTTAGCGCAACCCCTGATGAATAAAAATGTGAAAAGCGATGTAACTGCTGTCACTAATTACAGGAAAAGTGCTGTATTACATCTATTTTTGGACACATTTCCTCATCATCCCTTTTACTTAATGCTTTAGAAATATAAAAAAGAAGTAGTTCATATATTAGAACGTGATCCTATTACCATACGATCAAAGATCGTATGTCAATCACGGTGCCGCAGGCGAAGCGTCCAAATTTTTATTTTTATACTTCAACACTTCCTTTAGATCGAGCTTTACAAAATCGACAATAGAAAACAACACGTATTATAATGCTTGTATTATGATATTCGATTCCCTGTCAGTTCTTTTTTCAAGCAGAATTACTAAACGAATCATTTGACGCCACTGTTAGCTGTAATTCATCTGAGGTCTTTGTTTCCTTTTTCAAAATAGTATTCCAATTGAGACCCCAACCTAAACCAGTTAATAAAGTTAAAGATAATGCTGAATAATATAGAATGACGAGTCCTATATGATGTGGTTTTACAAAATGATGATGATATAAAAAACATCCAAAATGAACAAAATTTGATATTGAACAAACACGAATGACTATTTGTCGAAAATGCCAATCGGATTGTTTGAATAATGCTATACCACTTAATAAAGATACAAGTATATCACCATTAGATGTTGTTCGAACCCATAATTGAGCTGCGTCACGAGTAGATTGATCAGAAATATTTCCACCAAAAACTTTAACTGTATGTACCGGTATAAATAAATAAATAAATACCGAAGTGGCAGGAAATATCCAAGTAATTAGAAAATAAACATTAAGTAATGAGCATTTAATCATTGAAATGAACTTTGTTTCAAAGAAAATCAATTCGGTTTTAATGAACTAACGCGTATTTATACTTTTGTAATCATTTATTATCTAAAATATTTTATTTTCAGGTTCATACAGTTGGTGAACTTTGAGTAAGAACTAGCATCTTATGTTGACATTTTAGTTATGAATAACCGAAAAAGTATTAAAAAAAAAACAAAAAAAAATGATACTTACACTGTTAAAAGACGACTTGTCGAAAAGTAATGAACATTGTTAGATTTCGTAAAAACATCGTTTTTTTCTTCGGAGTCTAATCTTATCGAGTTATTCTAGATAATGACACAATACAAATGAAAATAAAGGGCAAAAATGTAGAGCGAAAAAACGGAGCAACTCTTATTTACAAGCTCTGTAATTCACTCATACAAAAAGTATCATACTCCTGGCAATATGAGGGCAAATAGGAACGACACAGATAAGAATGCCCATGGCCAGAAGATAAAATAGGCATACTAACGAAGCTTCAATGTCATCTTAATAATTCAGATAGTAAAAATAATTCAACGACAAGCTGATGAAGTTGCTTCAGATAGAAAAGCAAAAATTATTTATTCCATGAATGAAAATAAAATAGAAACAAATAGGCTCGAAGAGATACTATCTGTACACTTGAATGAATGCACAAGGACTTTGCTCTAATAAAAAAAAATAAAAACATTATCTAATAAATTAGAACTTTCGATTGATGCAAATATTAATTCTAATTCAAGTTTTTTTCCCTGTTTTTATAAAAACAATTGATGCTAATAACTAATACAATTGATATTATGAGACTTATAGCAAATTTTCAAAACTAACAATATCACAATAACTCTATTGTTAAAATTAACTATTTAAGTTTAACAACAAGTTTGAACAACCTTGTTGGCAACATCATAAACTAGTTAACATTAAAGAGTCTGTCGCATGAATAAATAGTAGAGCGTATTATCTATAATAATATATTTAATAAATCTTTTTCGGGCAGAGCTCTGATTTTCCTTTTAGACCAAATTCTATTTCAACGAAAAAAAAAATTGCAAAAAGAATAATGGACTTGATCAATACTATCTTAGAATTCATAATGTTTTGGGAATAGATGCAAACACAATTCAAGAGGAACTTACACCACCATTAAGATGGGTAAAATATTTTCGTGAACGATGAGAGCATATAAACAGTGAGATTCCATCTGATAGTTCGATTTCCAAGCTGACAGATGTAACTATTGAATTGGTATGACAGCTTATAAACAGTGAATCACATTCAACTGATGATAATAAGATAGCAGAGACTCTACTCTGTCGTAGTACAATAGAAAGAATTACTCATGATTGTTTAAACTCAATAATGAACAAAAGCTAATAAATATAAATCGATTCCGAGAATTTGGTGAAATTTTCTGATGAATCATAGCAATTATATAATACTATTATAGATGATAAAACATGGATTTATCATAGACAGGTATAACACCTGTCAACGAATGCAAGCTGGATGAGGCAAGGTGAATCGTCAACGACTATTGTTCATTGAGGTTGATTTGGACCATTGCAACTAATATATTGGAAATGGGCTCAAACCTGGTGTTAATGAGATATGAAAACAAACAAAGTCATCAGATGCAACAGATATAAAATTACTTCATGGCAATGCTCAACCTCATACTCATCCAGATGTTATTAATTATTTAACGCAAGAAGATATCAATATAAATCCACATTTACTGCTTTCGTCAGTCGTTGCATCATATAGTTTTTGGCTAAATAATAATATCAAGCATAATTTAACTGATCCAACAAATGAAAAATCATTGACGTGTGCGATTTCCAAGATAGTTAAAAATATTTTAGAAGAAAAGTTTAATGAAACATTTGAGAAACTGTAAGAAAGGATGGAACTTTGTACAAATAATTATAGCAACTATTCTGAACATTTAATAAAGTTAAATTATAAATATCTCTTTTTTGTTTTTCTTTAATGTTTTTAGAACTTTTGTTCAACTCTAACTAACTAATTTCTATTTCATGCAGAAAATTTTGATTTATTTTTAGCCTATGTTTCAGTTCTATATTGATTTGATCATGAACAATTGTTTTTTATTGTGTATTCAAATATTTCTCATAGAATTTGTTTTTCTATAAATTTGTTTTAAATCACAAAAATTCGAGTCCTGAATTACAATATTGATTTTGCAATTTTTCATTATGAGCATAGTGTACTATTATGTGAAGTTGATTTTTTGATTATAATGGCAATTATCAGTTTTAAGAAAATCAGATTTTCTTTGACAAAATCATCTTGGTGAATTCTTCGATTATAAACACACAGATTAGCAATAGGAGTGGTAGATGACATTCGACCAATTAAATATTTTATAGAACTCAATGCAAGTCGATGAGTCATCCATTGAATACTTTATTTCTAGGATTTAATTTCGAAAAGAAAATGACTAGCAAAGATGTTGCAGTAACAGAATCAAAACGAAAAAAAAGAACAAAATCACCGATTTCTTCACGATCAGCAAGTAAGGAAAGCAGCAATGAATCTGATAAAAATGATTCAGATGAAATTAAACCACAAGATCCAATTAAAAATGTGAAGAAGCAGGTGAACATTTTCTTCAATCATATAAATATTACTTTACCTAGAAAAACAAACTTGAATGTATTTAGATTTCTCCTAAACGCGATACCAGTTCATATGAAAGTGACAACGACCTCAGTGAAGATGACAATGAACCATCTATTCTATCTACAAAGAAAGTGTCAATTACAATAAAAGATAAATCAGATTCTATTCCAAATAATATTTCAACTAAAAGAACTTCATTGAATTGGAGATATTTATTTATCTTTGGTATTATTATAGCCATCATTCTAAGTGTTCTATTATCAAATGAAAACTCGAATATATTTTCAAATGATAATAATTGGCGTTTAAAAGTTGATCCTAACAATACACTTTCTAAAAATCAACAATATACAGTACGTGCATCATTAAAATCTATCCTTGATAAATCTTCTGCAAAAATAGAAAATGAAGAAGATAGTGTATCGACTTTATTAATTTTATCATCCAATGAAGAATATGCTGCAAAACTTGCTCGTTGTATTTTAAGACTAGTCAATACTGAAATGTATAAAGATAAGGTTAATTTTATTTATTTATTATTTGAAATTAAATTTTCAATTAATTATTAACTATTATAGATATCGACAGAAATTAATCTTCAATTACATCGTGGTGGTAAACTTCAATTAGATTCAAATTTAAAATCTTTACTTAGTACTGGTGGTGCTATACGAGCTGTTCTATTACGTCATATTGATGATAATTCATCAAATGATGCATTTGAAAGACTTCGTCTTTTATTTGCTTATTGTGATGGTGAAAATCCTGTGATTCCACATCGTTTAATTATTATGACAGCTTCTAGTAATAGTATAGATGAAACTGAATTACGTGAAAAATTTAAAATTCGTTGGCCAAAAGAGCATGATTTTATTGATGCACTTATGTCTCGTATCAGTGGACACACACTTTATGTTGATAATGATCAAAAATCGATTTGTTAAGTTATTTGTTAATGATTTTCAAAACTATTCGATACTTTCTTTTTTTTTTTGCATTCAAATGAATAAAAAAAGACTAAAAGTTATTTAACAAGTAATACATACGACGTGCATCAATATTTTTTATGTTCAGCTCTTCTAAAACTTGTCATTACAATGCAACTATTCTAATATAATGCATAGACATATTTTTAGAATATTGTATGAAAATTTAAGATTTAGAAGTCTCGATTTTCGTTGTATCGTTGTATTTTTTTTAGACTAGTGATATAACATATTCCACATGCATTTGAACTTTTGATGATAACACTTTTAAAGTTTTTATAGGACTAGTATATTGGCTTAACTTACAAGAAAAGGTGTACCTATTTATCAGGATCATGCGATAATATAACACCTTGAGATGGTATGCTAATCAATTTGTTTCATTATTATCATCAAATTATTTTTCAGTATTGAAGATGTAGTACATTCTAATGATTCCTTGATTGATGAAATCGGAGAAAATTTTAATGCGGTTTCAGCAATAATTAAACATATGAATGAATAGAGGATACTGTGAGCATCATTTCATCAGTATTTATTTTGATTATACTTGACTGTTTAAAAATTCTACAAGGTTTTGTGCTCGATTAGTGTATTGTTTACTTATTGATAATTGAAAGCAATTTCATATTCGATCAAATCGTTATTGATTGAATAGATTTCGAGCGAACTAATATCTATATTGTATTCTAGATCATCATTAATGATAGATCATAGTTTTATCATAATAATCATCATACAATAGAGTAGTCGAAAGTTGAAGCATTACAAACTAATTCATGAATAATCAATATCAAGTTTCTTAATAGAGTAGTAAATAAAGTCTACCATACTAAATTAAATGTTATTAACTTTTCCAATGTTCATAATAAACAATACGATATTTTTTAAATATCCTTATTTATATTTGAACACTTTATCTTGAAATATTTTTCTTCCCTCCCGACTTAAACTAGTTATTTGAATATTATATAAAACTTAGTTCTAAGTTTCATTTCTATCTCATCGATCAAAATCTTTCCCTTTTTCTCTATTATCTTACTGTTATATAGCACATATACACATGTGACTTTACTCTCTTTTATCTTACAGAACGTTGTTCGTGACGATCATCAAAAATGTTACACCGTAAATCATAATCAATCGTATATATGTATGTACTTTACTATCATATATTGTCTATCTTCTTTTCTCTTCCCTCTTCCTCATTAAACATTTATTCAACTAGATATACAATATAGAAACATGAGCAAAAGTCATTCTTTCTATTCCCCACTGATTCTCTTCCTATTGAACATCTTTGGTCTCAACTGAATATGCATTACAAGAATGATTTCAATACTGTATTTTAGTATAATGTATGATTGATTATGATCTGCTTCAAAGGAGAATGTGCATCCTTCAAAACAATCGATCAATACTACAAATGATTTGATTGATAGAACACTTCATGGCTGGATTATCTCTTTTTTTTAAATATTTTCTGAATGTTTTACCAGTTTTAGTTTATATGTAATTGTATAATTGACTATACCGTACATTCGAAGAGGCTTCGAGTCGCCGACGAAGAGAGTTTAATTATAAAAACCAACAAAAAAGTTGGTAGATACAAAAAAAAGAGATAAGCTAATCGTGAAACCTTCCGTCAACTAGTTCATTTGTAGTATTGCTTCATTGTATTGAAAGACGTTTATTTTTCAATGAAGCAAATTGTCATTAATTTCACTTCAAGTTTTCAAACTGTATGAGCAGAAAAAACAAGACCAATCTTTAAGGTCTAATTCATCATCGTGAAAATGCAAGACCCTAGAAAGTCTTAAATATCAACGAATTCTTGACACGGTATTATATGAAATCGCATTCAAATCTTGCATATACGCCAGATCTAAACTCGTATTACTTTTTTTCTAACTTCAAAACTCAAATAGCAACTACATGGAATGAAATTCAACGTTGCCAATGCCATGTCAACTGTATGAACACATGCCATAAATAATTTCACAAAAGTTGACCACAAAAACGACTTCTATGACTTTGTCTAGTCAAATACAAAAGTACATTGTTCATGAAGGATAATACTTTAGAAAACAACACCAGAAGCAACTGTCGGATAGCTCTCTAAAAGACAGGCGAAAAGACTTTTCGAATGTCCATCGTATATATATTTTTTCTTGTTATGGATAATCTATTGAATTTATATCTTATCAGTAACGACAAGAAAACAGAGATGATTATTATATGAAATTTACGTTTTTTTTTTACATGTAATTTTAACCAAAATTTTTGTTTTGTTCGAAGAAATTTCCTCTTCTTAAAAGTAAATGATAAATAGACTACTGGGTGATAATCTATGAATAAAAATATTTTCTCAATGAATGAATATTTGCAAAAGATAACAGAATACTGTTTTGCAAGAAATCTCTACATTATGACTTAACATATTGAAATATGAAACTTCTAGACATCTAATGTATTTATTTCAAAGGCATGCGAAATAGTTAAAAAAATATATCAGTAACAGACCAACTGGAATTTGCTTTTATTAAATATTTGGATAAGAAATAATTGTTATTATAGCCTATCTGTAAAATTATTTTTTCATTTTCTTTCGGTTTGTGCATATAAATTATTTAGATCTTTAGAGACATAATTTTCATTCAATGAATTTTTCATATATAACAATATATATATATATATATATCTTAGGATATTGAATCGATTAAAGAGAATAAAATGTGTCTCGCATATAAATGAGACAAAAGAAAAATAGAAAATCATTTAGATATTAAATACTCGAAATAGATGAAACATTACTACAAAAGATGTTACCCTCTGGCGACAATGAAGAAACAAGTAAGATTTTCAAATGTTTTTACTATAAAGACATGGACAGAATAGACTAAAATGATGTTACAGTAAAAATGAGTAAAAGCAATTTTTTAGACGAATTTATTCAAAAGCCTATGTCATTAATATCTTCTGTTCAATTCAAAATGAACAATGAATTAAATATTATTAACTAACGAACGCACATATTTAAGTGTTCTTCTTTGATTGAACTTTTAAAAAATCGGAGGGACATATAATGTAATTCTTCAGAGAGACGAGTATTTTCATAGAAAAACAAGCATTTCAAAATTGCTACAAAACATCACATTTTGTAAAGGATCGTCCTAATCATTTTTATAAAAAAAAATACATTTTTCGATTTAGTCGAAGGATAACAGAGATAGAATGTAAATATTGAAACGGCAAAAAATGTATTTACGTATTTACACTCATGTTTTAGTAATAGTATCCTATCTTTGTCATTTTTCAACTAAAATGAAAAAGTTTTTTCTTACAAAAATGATGTGAAAAGAATTCTCCAATGCAAAGTGATATTTTGCGCTTCATTATGAAATACCTAATTTTTCATGACTATTTTCGTCTCATAGAAGGATGACATTATATGTCATTCGAATTTTCTAAAGATTTAATCGATATTTGTAATCAATAAAAAATGCATTATAAATAAATCACTAATTGTACAGTCGACATGATTGAGTAGCTACATCGTTCAACATATCTGCACAAGGTACTGTGTGCAAAGCTCAATACCATCAGCCACGGAATGATCCAAGATCAATTACTAATGACTATTTGTCTTGTATCATCGCTCCAATAGTGTTCTAACTACTTTGTCACATACATCTAGTCTTGTAGTTAGTCACAATGTATGGGGAGCTCAAGCAATTGAGCGCAAGAAATTTGTGTCAAGTTAGCCTTTTGTTCAGAGCGCTACAGGTAGTACTAGCTCTTTCTTTCATTTTGATCGAATAGCCTCAGTTCTAATTATTAACGTGATACGATTAAGATAAATAAATGCATACTTTGATTACTGTCTAGTATTAGAATGAATATATATTTAGTTTTAATATATTAAATCTGTTAAGAGAAGCATTTAATTGAAACTTTTTCGTTTGAAGAGACTTATCGCTGTGTTGAACTTGAGTAAACTAAAAAATTTCTAAAATATAATAAAATTGAAACAATAGACAAGTAAACATGAGATCATTGTAACATAAACTTTCATTTTGCCAAAAAATGATATATCACAATCATACATTTCGTACAAATTTACTAATTTAGTCAGAGAAATGAAGCATGAGATGATCTATTTCATTACCTAATCTTGTCAACATGTTCATTGTTTATGATTTTCTCTATGTATTATGATGAAAACATACTCTATCTGTGAATTCGGACAATTATCTAGTTATTGCTATCTTTTAACGATACATCTTATTGTTAACTAGATATCTCATATTTATTTTGTATGTATATTATTATGATTGTTTTCCATCATCGATTAATTTTAATCATTACAAATACTAACAAGAAAAAATTGCTCATTCCAATGAAACATTTGTAGAACATAATTTATATTTTCCTTTCATTTCTTAGGATTGTCGTTCATTTCCTTTTTTTATGCAAATATATTTCTTTTTCGCTATTTTCCTTATGTTCATGTCGTTGTAGAAAAAAAAAGAAAGAAAACGAAGAACATCGAAGATCCGACAACATGATGTTGCTAACTCTAATTGACCGTGTTCTTATTTCACTGATGAGAGAAAGAGATAGATAGTAAGAAAGACGTAATAAGAGAAAGGAACGAGCTATGCATGTATCAATCAATCATGATCATAATCAGATAAAGTACATCTGCTCGTGCTTCAACTAACAATATAAAAACAACAATTGTTTCATAGAAATATACTGTCATATATTATAGCGCTAATCGTGTCATATACGACATACAGGTGAGTTTTCACCATATATAATAGAATTATTTTTCTTCTTTTTCGATGATGTTTTTTCTTATGTTTTGTTTTTCTCTATTATTAAATTCTATAGAATTTATGCAACAAGAGAATAATAAAATAATTTATTGTAGATTTTTAACTATTGTAATTATC